TAGGCCAGCGTGCAACAGAGACCGCGAAACGGAACCTGTTTCTCTCGTCCCTCTGCGCGAATAACCGTTGAACAAAAAGAGACAGATAGGCTAACGGAGGGACGAGGGAGAATCCGACGAAACAGAGATGAGTATCTGCACCATAAAGCCAGCTGAACAAGGATAGAGACGCAGGCAAAAAAAAAACGGGGTGGGGGATGGATGGTACTTGGCCTGGAGACAAGGACAGCCAGATACGTGTGGGATAGAGAAGGAAGAGGATAGAGCAAGCGAGCGGTCGTCGAGGGAGAAAAAAGAAGCGTGCGTGACGCGAGTGGGACAGGAGAATCGAGCTGTTCCGAGGAACCCAAAGAAGGATAGAACGATATATCGAAGAACCTGGTGGATAGAGAGGGAACAAGCGATATACGATATTCTGCTGGGGAACGGCGTGAATAGGGAGAAGAAAAAAAGTCTGCACACGCAAGCCTGTTCAGGAGGAGGAGCGATGTATTCGCGGGAGAAGGATATACGACTGGAGGGAGAGAGACTTACGCGAGGAGTGAGGAAAGAGAAAGACGGGGAATCTCGAGCGTGGGGCCGCTTGAATGAGAGGAACGACTCGAGAAGGGAGAGCGAAGTGAACAAGGATAGAGTCTATCAAGCTGGAGAAGGACGGGTTGATACGGGCGATGACTTAGGAGACGAGGATGGAGAATCGAGAGTAGAGTCGCTGGCAGGACTGAGTCCAGATGAAGATGGGGAGTATCGAAGGGTGTATCGAGCGGGAGAAGGACAGTACGATACTACTGCCGTACGATGTAGGGGGTAAGTGGAAGGAGGATGGATCGAAGGTAGTCTGAAACACAAGGATGGAACACATCGAGAATCTATCGAGCAAGACAAGGATAGATTGAAACCGAGTAAATGGAAAGAGGATGCACCGAACGATACTACGGACTGTAGAATCGACAAAGACACTAAATCGGGAATCTGTCCAGTGGAAGGAAGACGGATCTCGATGTGCTATTACCGGAACGATGCGCAGGAATCGAGTGCTTGGTAGAAAGAGGATGGGGTTGAATGTGCCTCTGGAACGACGAGGATGGAGCATCGAGACGGTCTGTCGATCGGAGAAGAGGATAGATGAATGTCACTACTGTATATTGAATTGACTGTGAGCGAAAAAAGGATGGACTCTAAAGGCATTACTCGTGCAACAGAGAATCCTGCGTGCAACCAGGATGATCGCGAAATACGGTTGTTCGAGAGGGAGGGAGATAGAAGTTTCGTGTTAGAACGAACGGTGTAGATGGAGCTATCGCGTCAACGATGGAGAGAGCAGGATGGAATGCACTCTGTCCGTAGAAGGAGAGAGCATACGCTGTTATTGTCGGACCGAGAGGGACAGTGGATTCGCTCTCTGTTGGGGCGACAGAGACAGATTCATCCTCATTGAGTTCGTGTATAAGAGAGAGACGGGAGATTGGGAAGGAACGCGTGGCTACTTGGTCACGGAGACTGGTCGGAATCGGACAACAGAGGAATATGATAGAATTAGTCCCTAAAGGGAATTTACAATGGTCCGTGAACGGCACACCGCTAAACAAACGGGGTATTAAACCGAGCGATTGTTGGGTAAATTTGTCTTGTTTTGAAACACGGGGAATGTTTTGGGTGGAATCAATTTTGTTACGAGAAGATTGTTGCGCGGGAGAAAATCAATTTTAAATATTGTTTAATACTAGAACTACCAACTATGTCAAAATGACTTTCCAATACACTCTTACAACGATGACTAAAATATTATGACAATCCATTTTCTCAGATCTTTTGTAACTTTTATTACAGTACGACATTAAAGAAATTAGTTAATTTATAAATTTGTAAATTTTCAAAAGTTTGCCATATTTATCGATCGATTGAAAATGATATGCGTTTATCGTTGGTAGTTCTAGTGTTAATAATATCCGTTTCGGTAATTGTGCAGGTTAGCGGCTTTTCTCAATTTTAGCTATTTCACTACGGATACCGATGGAGCACAGAAGCATAGAGTATAGATCATCCACCAAGAACTAAAACAAAATAGAAGTTCGTTTCGCTACAAGCTTCAGTAATATAGAAAAGAAGCAAAATCCAAAAAAAAACTTCGTTTCCTCAAAAACATCGTTTCATCAAACACCTATAAACAGAAAGGCCGGCTCCGAAATGAGATCGAAAGAAACAGATTTCCAATCTAATAATCTACTCTTTTCGCGAGTGTACGTGATCGCGAACGAAGGAACGAATAAACCGAGTTTCCGCGGGAACGAGGCTGGATACCGACGGTTTGCTCGTAAAGGATAGCTCGACCACGGAGAAACAGAAATCGCGATAGCGCCTGGGGAACGGTAACACAGCCATCGATCCGATCTAGAGCGAAGACCCCGAGACCGAGGCTGCCGCGCATCGCGGAAGAGAGCACACACCGTGAGATCTCGAATCGAGGATGGGAGGGAAATATCGGTGAGCATTGAGAAATAGGAGAGTAGCACCATCTGATCTAGAGGAACGATCCAGAAACAGAGTGATCGAACACACACAGGAGTTTCGCGAATTTAAAGCTATTGCGATGAGAAGAGGAACAGTTTCGTTTTCTACCTAAAGGGGGATGAAAATAAAAGATAAGAGTGTTCATTTCGGTGGATATGACGGAAGATGAAAATTTTTATATTCCCTCCTCTATAAGCACGATATTTGGGGCTAAATCGACGTTACGAAAAGTATAGCACGTTCCATTCGTCTTACGAAGCCTAGCATCCCTCATCAGAACCCAATTCCTCGTCAGTTTAGTGTATAACTACCATCAAATAAATCTATTCTAATAAAAGTCTTTTTTTTTTTTTTTCAAAAAATTTTAGTAAATAATTATTACCTATTTCGAAATTTGATACGTAAAATTTCATCGTTCAGTGAGATACAGATCTATAACCAAAAAGGTATATACCAAAAAGATGCAGTGATTGGTTTCAAACGTCCAATGGGTTAACAAGTCACTCGGTCATTCAACAATTCGGATTCGAAACAGTACTGGCGAGATTCACAAAGCTTCGAAATCTTCTCGAGGGTGATTAACGCCGGCCACGGAAAAACAATCGTTAATTAGGATGGCTGGCGGCCAGTCGGTTTTAACGAAGTCTCCCTTCCCACACCCACTCCCCCTCCTTCCCATTCAAAACCCGTCGAAATTGTTCCGGTTTCTTCGGCCAGCGAGGCGGTGGATCCGCCATTATCTCGCGGGCAATTTGCGTATCCACGCCTTCTACGTTTTATGCGCGAAAATTATAGGGTTAATTTTCTGTAATTACGACGCGCGCGTTAGCGCGACCACCGCCGCCGTCGCCGCGGGGTGGGCCCTCTATTTCATTTGTACAAACGGCCATCTATTTGTTCTTTCGAGTTTTGTTTTTCAAGCTCTTTTTTTCAACTTTTTTGGCGCGTTCGCCGGTCCGGTCTATAATCGACAAATTCGAGGATGATTTAGGGGTGAGTATTAACTATTTCGTCACTTTTTTTTGTTCACTTTACGAGGGTAATCTGCGGGGATTTATTGAAATCGTCGCGGTCGTTTAACATTGGAACTACCAGCTCTTGTTGTACTTATAGCATCCCTTAACTTGGAAAATGCAACTATGTTCAAATTTGAAGGATTATACAAATTTAGCACTTCACTGTCATTAATCTACAAATATGAAAGGAATATTGTAGTGATCGGTAAACTTTGAACATCCACAGGTATATCATTTATCTACTTGGAATCGTGGAGTTTGTTCATTTCGATTTCAATAAACTTCTAGTTTCATTTTCCATAAAATAATTTGTTAAGTTCGTTATCGTTCTATATTAGCATATATACAGAGACGAACGCAAAGAAACGACCGTTGAATGAGGGGGATTAAATAGGAATCCGATTATCCCTGAAATTGAAAAAGTTACAATCGCCAATCAAACGAATTATCCACGTGGCTCGAGAAAGAGGAGCTTTTACACTCCCGGAAATCACGGCTCGCGCAAACAAAATTAACCACCCCAGGGGGCGTTCGCGTTGGACAATCTTTTTCGGTTGCGCTGCTCGCATAAATTATACGCGGCGGAACCGTTCAAATAAAAACAAAGCAAGAAAAGAGAATACGTACTGTTCCAGTGGTGTTCTGATGGAATGCAACGAGGAGAAAAAGTTCGTCAGCGCTGTTTGGGGAAAAAACAGCTTTCTACGAGTTACCGTGAACATCGTTAAAAATTTCGCCGTCCCGAAAGAACGACTGGGCGCCATGTTTGTCTGTGTTTGGAGGAATAGTTTACCTCGCGGAAGAAACGAAAATTGTAGGAATTGTTCGGGGAATGAAATCAGTTTGCAATTAAATGAATTGAAGGTAAATTGCCTTGAATTTTTGGAGCTTGTTTTTGAAAGGAATTCATGTGGATCCTTCCATTTAGAACGGAATTAGTAAATGTAAATTGGGTCGTTCGAATTAGGAAGCAAATTATATTAATTTCAAGGAAGTATTGAACCACGTTCGTCGGTGTTGTCTCTATCATTTGGATGGAATTCAAGTATTGAGCATTATTACAAATACAATAGAAACTCACAAAACTGTAATTTCTTTCAAATACTTCAAAAATAGAGTTAATTGATGAAAGGTAAGAAAAAATTAGGTTCTATTATGTATAATAACATTATAATGGGAATTATTACGTAAAACTGTGATGAATATACAAAAACAGTCGTCAAATGACAACAAATGAAAAGTGTCAAATGGTTTCAGAATGTTAAAATATTCTCTTGAATCATTTCTGTCTCATGTAATATACACGAAAGTACGCGAAAATATTTTTTTGCTAATTTTCAAATTAATTCGGGAATGAAAGGGTTAACCCTCACCGTTCACAGGACTACGATACGATGCTTTCTCCTCTGTTAACAGAGATCTGATGTGACGCCTGTGAACGGGTCTGGTGGGGCTGCGTAAAAAGGGGACGAAATGAGGGTTGGCATCGGTGATGTCCCAGTCGTGGTCACCGTTCCCGCCTCCGCGTCTCTCAACGTGAGTACTACTCGAAAAGGGCACGCACCCTCAGCACGCATTTAAACACCCCTTTAACCAACGGAGGAAGGGTGGGGGAGGGGGTGGACTTTTTCTCTCTGAAGCACGTTTTTCACCCTTGCGGTAATTTGGCCACTAGGCGGGATTGCAAATGAAAATGAATATTTTTTGTTGGGGGGGGGGGTCGTGAGCGTTGGATTAATTCGGTTCTGAAGCATTACAGTAACCGTACACAGGTGAATTCTCGGAAGCAGTATAGTAACTTGATTAATTTTCGGAAGCGGTGTAGAGGATGTGCTGTCGAAAGTTTGGCAACTTTTATTGCAATTAAATATGTAAATGAATGTTTTTCGAAAGAATTCTGGGGAATTATCGATAACGAAATTCTGGAGACTGCGGACATCAAGAAAATCATCGGGCAAGGGGTGTAATAATAAAAAATTTGAACAATTACCTTGTTAACTTGGTGAAATTTTTAAAGCAGTGTACTGTACCGCATTTACAATAAAAATTACAATGTAACTGCAATTGTCACGCAATTACATTGCAAGATTTACATTTACATTTACTAGATTCTGCAATTAGATTACATTTTGCCCAACTGCTGGACTATTGTGCTCGGTAGATCGATACGGGAGTCGATCGAAGGGATCGATGGGTAAAGTCTCGCGAACTTACGACTGTCGCCCTCGTGGAATACCTGCTGCACCGGTTCTCCGCGTTCCTCGACGCAGAGTAGTCGGTTCCAACTGCACACTGCGGATAAACTCGCTTCTGGTAATTGCTATCGCGAAATCATTCTCCCTCGAACGTCGTGATAGATCGGAGAAAAGTTTTTCGATCATCGCCGATAGAGGAGGGGAGGGGGGATTAATCTGTCTTGAGAGATTACGCTGACTGGGTAAGGACTGAAGATTCGACAGGTTATTGAGTATTGTATGAGGGCAATTTTGTATATGTTTAGGCGTTTTTGTAACAGCTCGAGAACTTGTGGAATGTAATAGATAGACTTTGGGTCTTTATGAATGTATAGATGTTTGGTGGCGTGATTAAAATTCAAGTTGTTGAGGTAGTGATTTGTTTATAAAAGCAAATAAAAAGGGGAAGAATATAAAGGGATAATACGAAGCAAACTATACATATATGTATAAAAAAACTGTGAACCATCTCTCTGAATAAGCGGTTGATGCGACGTTAAATAACAGAAATCAAAGAAACGGGAATCGTTATTATTTACTTATGCAACAATCGACAAAAAATCTAAACCTCCCCTTAGAATCAAATTTGAATAAAAATGTCTTTAAAAACATTTTAATTTAATAATAATTAAAACATGAAGTATAAAACGTTCCTATTTCTGCTCAGCGAAAATCGAAGTGCCAAAATTATTAATGCCAAATTAAATGTAATATTCTATTTATTATTTGTATACGTACTGAGCAGAAATCGGGACGTGATTAGAAATAGGGATAGGGACATTATCTATTATTCGAATAAAATTGTGCCCAACTCTGCTTGGCATCGGTGGTGCCCTCCATTTCTCTTCGCCGTGCAGACCGCCCCGTGTCGGACACCGCGTCGGAACCAGGGGGTAGATCCCACCCCTAGCCGCCACGGAGCGACACTTGTGACCCATGAATTTATCAGACAGCGCCCGATTGAGGCGAAGTACCAATTAGCTACGATGTGTAAAGCGACGAATTAGCATTCCTCTCTCGGCTGATGGTAGAGGGGGCAAGATCATAGCTAGTGAATCGTTGTTCGAGGGTGTGGGTACGCGGAAGCACGGCAGTTTAATTAAATTATTGCGGCCTAGCGGAGTTTCCACGGTATGATTGATCGTGCCCGTTCGAAACACTGGGATTGATCACCTTTGATCGTGGTTTTCGTCACACTATACTCTGAACTAAGGTTTTTAGAAAGTTTAAATTCGAAATGTTTCTTCGACCGTTTCATTACTTCATATTGCAAAAATAATCGTTTCAAACGGTTACATAATGGTTCCGAGTGAAACAGTTACGAAGAACCTTTGATCTGAATAATTGTTACGAAGAACCGAAATTTCAGACTATATCAGGTTTCGGTTATGGTATTATATCAGCCCCCATAGAAGTTAAACGTTATTACTATGATTTCAATAAAATTGCTATAGAATCTAATTTCAGGAATATTTCCTCGATCATTTCGTTAGTCAAAACTGCCGTAATAATGCAAGCAAATAATTGAAGGCGGTTAAAAGAATTTTCGATGAAATAAAATAAGCATTGTTTCACCCAATATCTAATGTATAATTGGATTAATTATTTTTACTATGATCTAAATAAGATTTCTAGAAAGTTTAACTCCGAAACAATTTCCCTTAGTCTTTTCGTTAGTCGAAATTGCACGATAATATGAGTACAGAGTGTGGGCTGCTATGAATTTTGAAAAAAGAAAACTGTCATTTGTTCTAGTATTACATTTAACGCATAATTGTTAGCGCTTCCGTTCGTTAAATTGGAGGTTATAATTCCATTCGCAACTTTCGTCCAGGGGATCGTATGACGTTTAACGCAGGTTATAAATTCGAACGGGGGCAACTTTTAAATTATTTTCCCGCTCCAATTAGTGCGCGCGGTTAATTAAAACGTCTTTTCACTTTTATTCACTCCCCTTGGCTGTTGCGCGCTGCAAGTGAAAGGGAAGCCCAGCGCGCGCGTCCGCCATTTGTAATTTATTAAATCTGGCGAGGCGGTCCACGGGGGATTCGACGATTTCTTTGACCGTGGACGTTTAATGGGTGTTTAAGAAAAATAAAACCGAAGGCTTAAGGAGTTACGTACCTTTGAGCCGTTAAATAAGGAGGAAAATAAAAAAAATTTGTGTATATGCAGAATCATTGTTTATCAAAAATTCAACATATACGTATTATATGTTATTTCCTTAGTAATGTATGAAAAATGAAGCCATATATATTAAAAGAAGAAAATGACTGGCTTTTAAAAGCGTTTTAGGTACTCGAAATTCAGTTTTCAATATCGGTACCTACAGGAAATAATTAAAAGACTACTGAACCAATTTGGATAAAACTTTTTGGTAATATTTCTGAGACTAAAATCTCGAACTAACAATTTTTCAATTTTCCCTTTTATTTAACAGCTCAAAGGTATGTAAACACTTAATGGTCTTCTTAAACAATTCTCAGTAAAGAAAATTTCAATGGATCATTATTAATTTAGAATGGTACTCACCGGTAGAAGAGTAAAAGTTTTCGCTCCAGCGGTAAGAGGATTTTACTTTCGCAAAAACGTGGAGGAAAAGCTTCTTAAGGGAAGGGGATGAGTCCATCGAGGGCTGGAACACACAGTATTAAATGTCACACACGCGATAGTTTACACAATTTTCTACATACAAGACTAAAAATAGGTAGAATAATCACGATGACAAAATTAGTTCAGTGTTCGTGCGCGAAAAATATATTTCGCGAATCGAAGTTAACGAAACGGCGGACCGAATGCGACTAACCACGTTCTTCACTTCGTTTCCCCCGGGTCACGGTCACTTCGAAGCACAATAAATACCTGGTCTATTACTGATTTCGTAGAAACGACTCGGGAATATTTCTTTCTTTTTTTGTGTGCGTTCGCGAGGATGAAAATAGTCGAAGAAAAAAAAACTTTTTAATTATTTGGTTAATTGCATATTTTGCCCTCTTTAGCTCAATTGTCCTGGCTGACAGAGTTGGGCAAAATGTAATGTATTTACAAAATTCAAATCACAATTACAATGTAATTGCAAGACAATTACAATTACATTGTAATTAACTATATTAAATGTACAATAAATATTAAAATGTAATTGTAATTACAATTGTCCCGTAATTACATTGCAATTTAGATTTTTTTCAGACATCCAAGAGAAATGAGGTTTTACAATTTCCTTTGCATCGTCTTTGTTTTTAATCATAGAACATTTTAATATAGGAAACGGTTTGAAATATATGGATTTATTTTATTCTTCTATGCGTGTCTTGAACATGAATAATTGAGGCACAAACATAAGTCATAACTCAGGTTTATCGAAGTTAGTAAATTGTTAAATAGAACAATTCGAAAAATCTTGAAATACGAGAATTTGTTAGATTGGACATTTTAAGTAAGGAGGGCAGTATTAAATTCTTGTACATTTCGTACCGTTTAAGAAATTATTCGAATACGTTACAAAAACTTGTTAATAAAGTCCGAAAAGCGGAAAACGGTCCCGCTAGATCGATACACGTTCGCGAAGGCGAAGGAGGAGAGTCATGCATGATTTATGATAGTATTGTTGCCCACGGAATGGTACACCGAAGAAATCCGATGTAATCTCACTGGTTCGCGCCCAGGAGGAAGCTTTCCAAGTCACATATGAATGTTTCAGAACGACGTCTGTTTACCTCCTTTCCTTCCATCATTCTTTTTTTATCCCTTTTCTCGGCGAAGCGAACAACCAGTTTAAATTTGCATTCATTCAAGTGCAAATAGTAGATCGTACGACGTCGCGTGGAGAACGATCAAATATGGAACATCGGAATATGAATGTCAACGTTTAATCCCGTGATGACCGAGTTTCTGGGAATCGACGTCGGTCGAAGCATTCGACGATCGTTTATGCATGAAATTATTAGAGCATAGAAATCGTTATAATTTCGAAAGAAAAACGGGGTAAATTGTATTCTGACGCAATACTCTCTTATACTTTCGTATCCACGAATTTCTGTGAAACTCTGTAATCGTTTCGAAATAATCTAATAAATAACAAAGTAATATAACTAGACAACAACTACCTTCACAATTCGTTAGCTTTCATGTCGATTACTCGATCCATTCGCTCTGAGTACTTCTTTTTGATACCGGTATCGGTACGAATACTTGGTATCGAAACGAATGCATCGATACTAAAAATACTCGGTATCGAAACGAATGTGTCGATACTAAAAATACTCGGTATCGAAACGAATGTGTCGATACTAAAAATACTCGGTATCGAAACGAATGTGTCGATTATTTACTTGTATTTACTTGGATCGGTTCATCCCTTCACCAGGTGCACCATCGGTGTCTGCGAATGGGAACGATTATTACGGCAGATGGGAGCATCCACCGTTTTGTAGTGGGAATTAGTGGCAGCGTTCGGTGCCCGTAGGCTTTGCTAATTGGCTTTAAGTGCTACAAGGCCGCGGGCGTAACGCGCCGCCGTTTACCGGATGAAGATGTCGCGGGGCCGATCGAAGGACAGTTATATATTCGTGTTGGTCCCGCGGCAGGCCCCGTGGACCCTTCTACGAACTGGTTTTCTCCGGTTAGTCTTTGATAATACGACAACCGGGACCCTCGTATTGCCGAGAATGATCGCCAACGGGCGTCTGGTGTACACTTATCGAGCACTTCTTCGGTCGTCGTCTGTCCTTGAGATCATAATAAAATATTATATACCAGACACCGCGTACCCCGAAGAAGATATACGTCTTCTGGATCGAGAATCGATTTCCTCGCGAGCGACTCTGGTCCAGAGAAAATCGACGAATGAAATCGAGCCGTTCAATGTCGATCGTGGATCGCCATCATTGGGAAACCAGGGGAGGAGAAGTTTAATTGAGCTGTTCACTTGCCACAGTAATTAACTCCGCGGGAATTATTAAGGAAATTTATTTTAAACGTAAAAAGTTAAGCACGTATTAAGTGAAATTGGAAATTGAAAACTGGAGTTAATTACTTTGGCCTGAGAACGACACAATTGTGGGGTTGGGCTCGAATAGAGGAACGTTCGAGGGAAATTCGGCTGTTTCTGTTGTTTTCAGTGATAATGAGCGTAATATGGATAATAGTAAGAATAATAATAATAGTAAAAAAAAAAAATATAAGTGTATTTGCAAAAGATTGAAGGTGACTTTGAAAAATCATGAAAAAAAAAAGAGTCGACAAAAGATTTGCTATAATCACGTTAAAGCTCTCTTGAAACCATGCTATACATGATAAAAACCTTTTCGATCGGACTGCTAATAACAGAGTAATCTCTACTGATCACGATTCGTGGTTCCCCCCGTATAACAATTCGTTATATAACTTTGCTATACGACATGTTTTTATAACTTATACATAAAACGAGTAAAGCGAGTTAATGTTCAGTGTCGAGGTGCCTTCGAGACTCATCGATGATTTACTGTAGTTCGGATACGAGAGGCTCCACTGTCTATCCTGTAACATTCTTGGTGATTTTGTTGAAAATAATAGAACTCTCACCCCCTCGTTTTGCGTTCGTCAGGTGATGACAGGCGAGGACAGCATGAGCGACGACGTGTTTGAAGTCGAGGACGAGGGTAAAGCGGCGTCCGCTGGCTTGACGCCCGGTACCACGGAACAACCATTGACCACAACACCGTCCCCGACCGGGTACCGTGACTACAAACCACCTGCGGAAGTGTTCGCCGAAAATTATGGCTACTCGACCACGACTGCCAGCAGAGACTACGACAACGTACGCAGCGGCCTGAAGAGGAGCAAAGAGGAGGACTCCGGTATGGCGCACAAGGTAAGCCACGTTTTACATCTGATCTGTATACAGGGTGGAGCAATAACTATGTCCACCTTGAATCTTGCCGTTATTTATAATAATATGAAAAAATGTTATATACAAAATTTACACGGTATAGAGAGGGGCATATTATAACACAAACATTTTCTGCGTGGGTGAAGGTATAGAGAAGATTTCAAGGTCATCTCTATTTTTTTTTTAACGGAATGCTATGTTTTTTTTTATCGCGATGTGATAGCCGGTGTTGAGACGACTTCAGCGAGCTATCATTGAAGGTCATGCAAGGTCAAGTGTGGTAGTAAAATAAAATGCACGTGATTCAGCGATACGAAGATTATTTTTCTTAATTCTAAGCTACTCTTCGCCTAGTTTCTGACTTACCAAAAAGTGATCTAGGTTACATTGTTTGGTAACACTGAAAAGATGGTCTTCTGCTATCCCAACGGAGAATGGGCTTCTATAACAAGTGACGATTAGTCAAAGAAGCTAGTCTATTCCTCAAATCACACTGTTGTACCATAATTCTGAGCTACTCTTGGCCTAGTTTCTGACTTACCCAAAAGTGATCTAGGTTACATTGTCTAATAACACTAACACCGTTTTCCTTCATCCAAACGTAGAGTCTACTCCTGAAACAAGCGACGACTAGCCAAAAGAGCTAGTATAAATTCCTCAAATCACACCATTGTAACTCTAAGCTACTCCTGGTCTACTTCTGATTTGCCCAAAGCTGCTCTAGGCCACATCGCCTAAAACCGGTATAAATATCATTTTCCGTTCTTCCTACGTACAGTCAAGCTTCCAAACCACCTGCCAACCGGGCAAATGTTCATTTCTCTCCTTCGTTCGTCGAATCCTTCTCGCCGATGCTTCCCAAACAAGGGGACCGCGAGATATTCCGAGTATTCCCGGCATGCACCCGTCCCGGGTAAAATATTCCCGGTAAGAACGCCCGTTCGATATTCATTACCGGGGCTCGATTTGCATGATGAATGGGACACAATGTTTCTCGGATGTAGGAGCAGCAAGGTCAGCCCCCCGTGCCTTCCCACCCCAAGGTCAGGCATGGCCTCTCCTCGCCGCGGCAAGCCAGTGGAATAATGATCGGGAATGTCGAGGTCCATACTATACACTCGTGGTACGGCCCCCAAGACGATTCCCTACGTCCTTCCTTCGGTTTCTTCCTTTTCTTCCTCGGCCGTCTCCCTCTTCCACGTCGATTCATCTCGATCCTCTCCCTCGTACCGAGGCCATCTTCCTTTTTCTACCGTGTCTTCTTGCCGATTTACCTTTCTCTCTCTCTCTCTCTTCCTTCGTTCCTTCTGCTCCTTTCTTTTTTACTCTTACCCCCTACCATACCCTTTCTCTCCTTTATTTTCAACACATCTCTTTTTGCCCCTAATACTCTTCAGCTTCCCTTCGGTTTTGTCTCGCTTCTGTCACGACCATTCTGCCTCCTCTTCTCTAATTGTTGCTCCACTTGGCGGACACTCGTTGGAGAAACACAGCCACGTAATAACCAAATTATTACTCTTGTGGGTATCCAGTAGGTGCATTTATCGTCGCCTACTTACTCGACCCGGTATTCATTTCGCACCCACGACCACGAGGAGGATCCTATATCGTGGCTTTACGTTCGACAGGAAGCGATTTTCCGATTTACCGCTTGGCCTCGTAACGAGTCGGCCGTTTTACGATCATCGAAGCTGTTACTGACTCCGCTCGCGGAAAAGGATCTCGCTTCCTCTCTCTCGTCTCAACCCTTTCAAACTTGAATTTTCTTTTAAGAGTAAAAAATGTATTTGATTATAAATTTTAACGGGGTAGACTGTTTAGATGGTATTTCGTTTTAAAGAAAATTTTTATGTATCCCATAGTTTTGTAGATATTAAATATACAAATTAGGAAAGAAACATAGACAACACTTTATAAAACTTAACACTAGAATTACCGACGATAACGTGTACCGATTTCTATCGGATTGATAAGCATGACAAAATTTTGGAAAATATGAAAATTTATAAATCAACTAATTTCTTCAGTTTCGTAGTGGGATAAAAGTTGTAAAAGATCTGAGTAAATACATTGCTATGACATTTTAATGATCGTTGTAAGAATGTACTAACCAGTCATTTTGACTGCTTTGGTAGATCTAGTGTTAATAATAATGTATCAACGCTTGAAATTGACGAAGACACGTGAAAAATACTCGTTATTCGAAACTTTTTATCTATATAATTAGTTTGCCCATCTCTGTCGACGACCCAATGATATCGAAGCTCGTGCAAAACACGTCTGCATCCATCGATTGGTATTAAATATATATAAAACGCGAACCACGAGAGTTTCGGCCTTACTAGAGAGGCTCGAAACGTACAGAAAAACCGTTTTCTGTATAATGCGGTAATTGAAGTCGAGTTCGGAAGGCGGGAAAAGAAATAACGAAGGAGAAGAAGAAGAAGAAGAAGTAGGTATCGATTCAGACGGGAATCGGGCGACGACGTATCGCTCGAAAAACCACTGGAAATGATGGGTAAAGAAGCGTATCGTAACTCGGATTTCTTCGCGGCGGCTGTTCTCGCTTGCTTGCTTCGCCTCCTCCTCCTCCCTTTATAACCGAAAGATTTGCAACAGTGCAATGCGCTGGGCCGGTCGCCAGCCAGCACCGAGGCTCTTCAATTATCCCTTATAGGATAGCAGAGTGTACTCGGTTGAAGAAAATGCGAGGCAAGAACCGGCTCGGGACCGTGGTGGACCCCCTACCGGTTTTACTTCGCCCTCTTCACCTCGAATCGGCTTTAAGGGTCCCCCCCCCACCCTTCCTTAATTGCCGTCACATTCTGCGAGAACGTTTTCGCGGTTCCACTGTGTGGTGCAGGTTTCAGATTCACGTAACAAATTGCAAATAATTTAAATTAAAAATTTAGTTTAGAATATTAGATTAGTAATACAATATTTTATAAGAGACCTTAGGTATCTTCCTCCCCCCTCTAATTATCTTATTAAAAAATTACGACTTGGAGCAGGGGCGTAGCCAGGAGAAAAAAGTGGCTTTTGCACCACAGTAGACTCGCGTTAAAGTAGCGGTAGGAACGCCCCAGCTCACACATATCATTCACACATGTGCGCGTACTCCACTATCGGTCTCCTTGTGTAACCGAAGTTCTGATATAATTAGTGAATCGATCAAACTGCCACGTGATCCTGTGCGTCTATTAGCTCGCGTTAAAGTACCGTTTCCAAGAAAAACCCGTCCCGAATAGTCCCGGCAGCGCTACTTTAACGCGAGTCTACTGTACTCTGGAAGAAAAAAATTACAGTTTGCCCCTTCCCTTCCCTACAAGAAAAAAGTTGAATTTTGCCCACCCCCCTTCCCGGAGAAAAAAGAATTAAATTAACAAAATTACATAACCTGTAACCAGAGATGGGCAAACTCATTATCTAGATAACAAAGTAGTAATTTAAACCTCGGAACGACACCCTTAGATACTGCTGCTTTTCACTGTGTATTATTCGAATAAAATTCTCCCCAATTCTGCCTGCAACTGATTTGAAAAAAATAAATCATTATGTACCACTGTGCCATCAGCTGGAACCTTTCGGTTCACGACAACCGCCGCGCAGTTCACGTGTACAAAACGCGTCCGTCTGAACGCCTGGTTTTGCGAGTGTTCACGGTACAGTGGGCTCTATCAATGGGCCGCCGCTGGCGCTCGAGACCTCGAGAGTGTCGCGGGGATTCTGGCCGCGTCAAGCGTTGAGCCGCCTACGTAGGCGGATTAAGAGGCACACAATTGGCTCTGCGCCACAATGCGTGAACCCGATCGCGCCACGGCATTGCTGCGCGATTAAGCTGTTCCCTGGATGGACCGGCGTGCATTAACGTCCACCGAAATCCGACGTGTATTGAGCTAATACACTCGGTGTACCGGATATACGTCAGAGTGTTCGCGTAGCCTCGTCGATCTGACGTATTAATACATTGGATTTAAAGGGGACCAGGGACAGACGTAACAGTCTTTTTGGGTGTGGAACTTTCGAATTTTTATAAATCTCTTATACGATTAAGAATTTTCCTTTTCAATTGTCCATAATACAGGGGAACCTGTTGTACCTTGGGTACACTTTTTGTTTTTATTTATTTGTTTTTTCAAGAATCTTAAATAATTTACGCACTTTATAGATTGTAGATAGTTTACTGATTAATTAGATTGATTTTTGTAGAGTGATTCCAATATATTTTATTAAAATTATAAGTGTAATTATGTTCATGGTACAACAGCCCCTATGTACTTCGGACTTAGTAAATGCAGTTTGAAATGGTTATCACGTGTGTGACTCGATGTTATAAGGCAAGGGGTTAAATCGAACGATTGCAAATAGTCGTTGCAGTGGTCTGCGCGCCAGTGTAAAGTACTCAGTACCTCTTGTGCACTGTTGCTCACCGGGTTCGTTAGTGGTCGCGAGCCAAGGGGAGGGAAAAAGGCAAGATCAAGACGATTTTTTCCTCTAGCCCAGAAGAGGCTGGAGCGTCGCGCGTCGGCTAGAAACCGTCGTTGACCTTAAGCGGAGCTGTGCATTTGGCGGGCTCGCGCGCAGTCGCATACAAATTGAGTTAGCGGACTCGTGGTAATGGAGGTAGACGGGAAAACGCGGGCGAACGAGCCGACGAAAGTTTACCACCGAGAATCGACCGCAATTGTTACCGTTCGATCGGACAGATCATCGATAAGTCGTCTTTTACGAGTAATTAAAATATTAACGATCTGTTCGAATATATTCGAGTAATTCGAATATTAACGAGTAATTCAAATGTTGATGGTCTGTTCAAATATATTCGAGTAATTCAAATGTTATCGATCTGTTCGAATATATTCGAGTAATTCAAATGTTGACGGTCTGTTCGAATATATTCGAGTAATTCAAATGTTAACGGTCTGTTCGAATATATTCGAGTAATTAAAATTTTAACGATCTGTTCGAATATATTCGAATAA